GAAAACACTTAATACGACAACATTAATGTAAGCCAGTAAAGAAGTGGGCTCGAAATAAATTCAGATAAGACAAAACATATGGTTAGCTGAAAAAAAAAAAAAAACGCTGCAAATTATTTCACAATGGTTTATTATTTCCAAACAATTATGCATCTAAAGTAACATTACCTTCCGAGTTACAAAGAAAAATAAACAAAAGGTGATTCCAATTATTGGTCGAAACTGTTTTTCTTTAATCATTAATTATATGCTGAAAAAAATAGCATTAGTTCAGTAACACATTCAAAATTTAAAAACCAAACCAAGGATATAACATTTGGAGTAGATCATATAAAAAAAACCGAAGACCATATCTTTGCTCCTAATTATCCGATTTTAACGATTTTTTTTTTTAGGAAATTTAAATACCTTTGTCTAAAGTCTATCAAGATATAAGTTGTAAGGTCTTGATAGACGTTACAACATCTCAATTTTCTATCTAACTATTCTATTCACAATATCTTTCCATTTCTTATATAATTCATTTTTTTCTGTTTTACATTTTATTCTAAGATTCCCATTTTAATACTTATGTCACTTTTTGATTAAATTTACTTCATCATTCCACACTTTGTACCACTTATTATCATTTATCTCTAAGTTCTTAATATTGTCATTATTCTAACAACTGCATTTTACTTTAATTTTTTTTTTCTTTACCTACACTACTTATGTTTATCATACCTTGTTATCTGGTTCTTTTCTTAGCCCTAATGATGGCCTGAACTTCAGGTCGAAACGTCGGCTAATGCCAAAATAAATATTATCATTTATTTTTGCCTTCTTATTTGACTGATCACCCCAACTATTCTTCTCTTCATTATTCGCGACAGTCAACGATTTACCAATTATGTATTCAATCAATAATTATTTCCGTCCATTATTTTAATAGTTGAAATGATTTTTTTTTTTTTACATTTGGAGTAAAAATATTTATTTTTTTAACGTTAAATGTAAGATTTTGGTTGGTGGTAATACTTTATATTATTATTTTTTCGGAATCTACACACCAAAGACAGGAAAATAAGGTAAAATTGTTTTTTTTACCGCCGGTCTGTGTGATCCATCAAGAGAGGACCGTAGGAAGAAATTACCGACTAGTTCCTACTAAGATGGTTACCCTCGCCCTGGAAGGAACAATAAACACAAGCCAGAACAGAACCTCCAGCGGGTGGGGCCAAATATAGCCGTGCTCTTGTCTCAACCGTTCTAGTCTGGCTCAACTAATAGGAGGCTGAATAGAATAGATCTTATATATTACGGACCTGGGGTCACATATTTCAATGAAACTTTTTTTTTGGTGATATTAGGTCGAAAAATATTAGAGCCATGTCTTATACATCCATATCTAATATTTTGTATATACACATCGCCAAAGGGATCATAGGAGCAGACTATCAGATCTAATCGGGGGGAGAGCTAGGGGGAGGGGGGAGGAGAGGACGATGGATCGCTACCAAGAAAGCCTCAGGTGTTTATATTATGTATAAAACTTATGAGTGATAATCAACATAATTATTTTTAAATGAACAATATATAAAATAAAATAAAATATATTTATAAAAATATATATATATATATATATATATATATATATATATATATATATATATATATATATATTATAACTTATTACATTATATATCACCTTGATATAATATAGTCTATATAAATTTCATTTTTCAAGCTCTACATGGTGCTATAAAAAAAAAAAGATTGGAAAATTAATTAATTACCATTATCATTAGTGTTGCCCAAAATCGGTCTTGGTCTTGCACTTCGCAAGACCAAGACGAAGGGCGCCTAACTGTTGCAAGACCAAGACCAGGACTGGTAAAAAAATCGATTATTTTAATAAAAATTGAGGCAAAATAGTTGCTAATACTTGACAATCTTGGTTGTTATATGTTAATATTTGGTAAAACCAATATATTTTTGTATTAAACTCCTCTAATTTTTCATTCGGGCGTAATTAGGTTTCTTCTATCTAAAAAATTACAGTAATATCTCTATAGTAATAAGCTAATAAGTAACTGCAAGACTGTTGCTAGAGTCTTGCGCAAGACCAAAACCATGACCAAGACTGAGTTTGCAAGACCAAGACTGGTCTCGGTCTCGCATTTAGGCAACACTAATTACCATGTCAAAAGAGGGAGAAAGTTTTGTTATATAACTAACAAATAAAAAAACTTTTTGATAGGATCATTAGTGAATTGAAGTTATAGCAAAATTAAATTTTAAAACCGAAAGCTCGAAAAGAGCATGAACCATATTTGTCAAGATACATAGTGATAAATCCTGACCTTCGAATGAAATAGTTATAGAGCAAAAACAATTTATACAATGTCACCAATTATTTAAATAAAAAATCTGGGGTGTCTAGTCATACGAATTCTGCAGATTTTAAACTATTTTGCCTTAATTATATTCACAAAAACTTTTGAGAAGGAGTTAATGGGGGGGGGGGGAGGGGTGCGGTCAAATAAATACTAAATTAAAATATAGCATTTATTCAGTTTTTGCCGACGTTTCGACCCACTTTGCAGGTCGTCTTCAGGGCTACAAGAGATACAAAACATGTTGAAAATAAAAAATAAATATAAATAGATATAAAATAAGAAGAAGTTGTCAGATACAGAAATAAAAAGATGACTACACTATAGCTACAATCAAATGTAACCTCCACTAGCTTGTTATCCACTGATATCTTATTATTAGTTTATCTTATTCTTATTTTAACTTTACTATAACAATACTTATCGCAGAAAATTTTGTTTAGTGAAGAAACAGTAAACGAATATGGAAATAAGTAGATCCTATGTATTATGTAAGGAAGGAATTAATATTTTTTCTTTCGTCGATTACAATATTCCATTAAACATAATAGACCAAAATATTTATACAAATTTCTTTCCTAGGACCTATTTTTAAACGCTGAATGAAAAGATAATAAAAGTAATAAAGAAAAAATAATGCCCCAATCATAGGATATTCTAAATTATTTTTAAAAAAATAAAATGTAAGAACAATCAAATGTCTTTAAGAAATAATATAAAAGCTAATATAAAAGCCAGGAAAAAAAAGTGTAGTAGACTATTCTACTCTTAAATACAATATCTTTAAACAGGAAGACATTATTAAGTATAACGAAACTAATGGACTGTATCTTTGTTAATAATTTGTCCGAATTTTACGATTTTTTTTTTTGTTTTGTAGGTAATTTAGAAGTCTTTCTAATTGTCATGGGTACAATGGGTACAAGATAAAAATGCATACTTTTTGAGTTATTCACAAATAAAGTTTCTTTTCCTACATAACTTTTAGAAACTAGAAGAATATCGTCAAAATGAGTGGTCAATCAGGGGTTTTGATGAAGAATTGACGAAGTTATGGCGTACCGACAAAAAAACACCTTTTAGAAATAATATATAGGATATATATTTATGTGTATTTATAAATTTGTTTTACTGTATTTTTGTGTATGGGTAGATTTGAAAATATGTCAACAAAGCAATTGAATATGTACTACATATTTTTATTTTACGGTTTGAGTCAGTAAGATGAACTCTCAATTATCCGATACTTAAAGGTTAACGCGAGAAATGTGATAAAATCTTCACGTAAAAATGGTCTGTGTGTTTGTATGTTAGCAGTCTAGCTCAAAAACGAAAAGGCCTACAAAACTGATATTACGTATTTAAAATAGGTATATGCCTTTGATGTGACGGCAACTGTTTCCTTAAAATCGGCTAACTGGAAGTGCCACTTTATATCAACGCTGAAACACATTTTCACAATTTTCTCAAAAACGGCTGAAACGATTTTGATCGAACTCGGTGTATCATTGTATAATTGAGTGATCTTTAATACCAATCATGTCTTATCCTCATTGATGTCACTTTACATGGCTTAAATGCCCAATGTTCTTATATGTCTTCCTCTAAAGTATCTTTAATATGGTTTATTTAAAAAAGTTAACCATTTCACACTATTCAAAGTTACGAAAAAATGCTAAATATAAATGTTGAAAGAATTTGATAAGTTAATAAAGGAGAAAAAAAAAATGCAGAAAAACCTGCGTTGCTATAGACTGTAGCGCCTAAACGAAAGTACCGATTTCAATGAAACTTCGCTAAAGTCATTTTCTCGATCTATATAACATACTTCAACGGAAAGAAGCTGGAAAAAAAGTTACGAGGAATGATAAAATTAAATTCCGAATAACTCAAAAAGTTATGTAATTTCCTAAAAAAAAAAAAAAAAAAATCGTTAAGTATGGACAATTTGGAGGAAAGATATGGTCTCTAGTTTTTTTCCCCGAAGAGGCGAAAATTTGGATAAATTTAAAATATACTTTTTTAATTGTTGAGACTAAAAAAACCTTTTTTCTACAGATATTTAATAAAGTATCTTTCCTAAGTACATTTTTCATAAAAGGTATGTACCTAAATTTATACCTTTATTCTCAGTTCTATATTTCAATACTGCAATCACCACCTCCGGAATCAACTTACACACTGTCTGCATAGATAACTTTTTCAACTAAAAATATCACTAAAATGGCATTATTCAAAAATGTTGAAATTGGAGTTAGTCATTCTGTGGTTTATAAAAGCAGAGAAAGTCGTGTGGTTTATAAAAGCAGATGGAGTGACTAGATTTTTATTGCCTGTCGTCGATATATTAAATAAACATTTTGTAATTATAATGGTCTTAATGACTTGTTATCTGTAAGCTTTAAGGTTTAGCTCCGTTTAAAATGCACTTCAAAAAATTGTATAATAGCCCAGCACTGTCAGAAAATAATTTCTATTCTTAGTAGATCAGTAAGTGAAAGTTGTGTGTTGCGCGCACCATATTTTTGTACATATATTTGTTTGGTCAGTATAACCGAACCAATCAGCAGAAGTATAGTAAAATACATCCTTTTCCTTACACCGAGTTGATACGAGTTTGTTGTAATGGAGAAAATGTTCAAATTTGTTGTTGATAGGAAATATGAGAATTTCCAAAGGAGACACGAGGCAATGACTTTAGACCAGCACGGCAGCGCCCCTGACATTCCACCCAACAAAAGCGTTCGGCCATTGTCCACTAAGGCTACAATGCCTCCCGTATCTACACACTTCGGATGTACAGGTAATCGCTTCCTTAGAACAACATCATAGCCACCTGGGCATTTCTTTATTTGGCTACCATTTCTCTAGAAATATTTTTCTTCGCTAAAATTATATATATAAGTGTTTAAGAATTAGTTAACTTACTCATTGGTCACTATATCTCAAATATCACAAAGCCCATGAAGCTGAAATTTCGAATGGTATGGTTAGACAGCTATCAGCTGTCAGACCGAGGGCGATCTCTTGCGGCACTAAATGTAAGTTGTAACTAGCAGTCGTACAGTGGAAGTCATGGACCAACAAATAAAAAAAAATTTAAAAAGTTGAAATTATCATATTGTTTTACTTTCCTTATGTCACTTTACAGGGCATAAATGCCCATTCTTCATATGCGTCTTCCTCTAAAGTACCTTTAATATGATTTATTTGAAATAATTAACTATCTCTCACTATTAAAAGTTATGAAAAAATGCTAAATATTACTTTTTAAAGAATTTGATAATTGAATAAAGGAAAACAAAATAAAAATGCTTATCCAGGTTGAAAATGAATCTCTGCAAATACTAGTCAGAAGGTATACGTATAATATATCATTGAAAAAAGAGAATTTTAGAAAAAATAATATCTAATATAAAAAGTTGTAGAAGGTAAATGAGAGTGGCAAAAAAATATAAATAATAATTTTTGAAAACTTACAGTCTTTAACGTAAATCACATGTTTTCTAGGAAATTAAATGAAATTTACTAACTAAATGTAAACGTTTAAAATATTTTTAAGTTTGAAAAAAGTATTTAAAATCCACCTAATCAAGGCAATGATATTGTTTAAAAAACTATTTCATTGTACTTGTGTGAAAGAAGAAGTGAAATATAAAATCATTTCATGGATGAAAAAAGCATATGTTTATAACCTTAAATACATTTACTGTAGTTTAATAATTCTATATCTGAACCTATTATGTTTAAATAATTAGGTATCAACGTCCGTTTAATCCGAAATATTGTCATGTAACTTTTTAGAACTAAATTAATGAATAATTTGACGAATTTCCCCTTTGTGATATTCCAAGAGTATCTGCTACTATTTCACTGCACTTGTGTGAAAGGAGAAGTGAAATATAAAAATATTTCATAGATATGTTTATAACCTTAAATATATTTACTGTCGTTTAATAATTCTAGATCTAATATTACATTTAGGTATTTATCGTCCGTTTATTCCGAAAAGTCATCATGTAACCTTTTAGAAAATGAAATTAGTGAATAGTTTTATGAAATTTCCTTTTGTGATATTCCAACAGTATCCACTTACAATTAGTGTGACAACTTTTCACCTGTCTATGACAGACAATGCAAATCTCTAAATTCCGTTTTAGTAAACTTTGCAATAGAAAATAACAGTTTAATAACCTATAGTCTTACAATCTCTTATCAACCGGTGATATAATAAATAGGACTTTTATTTTACTGGTATTTATGATTTGTTATCTGTAACATTTTAGCTTTAGATGTGTTAAAAATGCGATTCAAAAATTTTATAATAGCCCAACAAGGCCAGAAAATAATTTCTATTAAAACGTTAAGCGGTAAGTAAAAGTTGTGTGTGGCGCGCACCAGATTTTTTCTCTTAAGCCTCCGACATTACAAAATATCTACCAACATTCACAGCCGGATTTACGGGGGGAGGGCTTTCCGGCTGAAGCCCTCCCCCCAAATGGTAAAATTTAATCATGTTTTATGGTAAAAAATGTTAAAAAATTATGTCTTAAAGTATTATTGCTCGTTTAATTACATTTAATAGGACTTAAAGAATCACTTAAACACCATTTCATATAGGTAGTTAGTATCTTTCTGTTTTTCTAAAGTAATTATCGTTATATATATGAAAAAAAAGCTTCAGCCCGGAAGCCCCCCAAAATTAAATTCTGGATCCGCTAGTGCCAACATTTACTTAAATTAGAAGATTAATATATCATTTTTCAACATGTGCATATATTTTTAAATACTTCGCAAATAATATTGGAGGCTTAGGGAAAAACAAAATCGGTTTAACGATATCGTCAACACAATGTTAAAGTTACGAACGTGAGCCTGTTTAACGTTGCAAATTCGTTAGTTTAACAAGGTGCCGACGATATAGCGTTTTTAAAATATTCTTTGTTTATTATTGAGCCACTGTTACTAGACACTGAACTAAGCCTAATTTAGATAAAGAAGCATAGAGTTGTTAAGAAAAACAGATTTCTCCCAATTTGACTAAAATATGTTCCAAGATGACAAATTTTTCAAATAAATATTTATAGCGACTAAAAACGGTTAGGGAGCTATGCTTCGTTGTCGTTTATAGGTACTGATCCATAGATATGGATGGACCTATGGGCCATATCCTCATGTTACAAACCTTTCCTCAATACATCGCATAGTAACTCACATTAGCGTAAACAAATATTCGGCTTTATGTATTAGTATAGTTATCCATGAATACAAAAATAATCAGTGACATTTTTTTATAAATTTTTTTTTTAAAATAGAAGTAATTCGTCTGCATCCCTGGGCTTAAACATCATTGTTTACAATATCATGAAAGAAATTCGAAATAAGACAACATGGTGATTATGAAAAAGCCATATTGTCAATCGTATTAGCAGAGATATGAGGAAAAGCTATTAAAAAGGATTGGAAAAAAACGGTAAAGAAATGATACTATAACTGGAGTCAAACAATGAGTCAGGCACGAATGAGATCACATCTGCAACTTTATTTACAGTTTATACTTCCTCTGCCTATTTCTACCTCTTTGTAATGGCGGGTTATAGCTTTGCTCTGTTTGGCTTTAGCTTCTATTTCTGTAAGAGTCTTCGTTCTTAGTTATATTCTCGAATTCATCTATATTTTTTTTCTTCAAGAAAACTTATTGGTAGAACTCTGAAAACATTTTTATAAAAATTACAAAACAAAAAACACATAAATGTAAATCTTCTATTCTGATTGGATCATTTTTTTTTTTTTTTTTTTTAGAAACAAACCAAAGAAGATCAAGAGGAATGACACGTGTGGAAACGGATTAAAAAAACTATTTCTACAAGTAAAATTTAAATATTAAAATTTTGAAAGATACAGTATGAGTCTTTATTTTACTCCTAGTGAATCCTGAACATCGTTAACAACTTCCTAGAGAACGCCAAGGGTGCACAGAAGGGAGTTGTACCATCAAAATTAGTTAGGTTTCCCCTATCTGAAAAATTACAATAATATCTCTATTGACCAAGACCGAGATGTGAGTGTGCAAGACCAAGACTCGTCTTCAATACTAGTAAAATCGAACGTGCAGTTTTTAAACTATGGATGGGTCAAGTTTTTTTTTTTTTTCAGTAGTACATAGAATTTGATAAAATTCATACTCTACTTGATTATCTGTTTACTAATGGTTACCTTCTCTCCGGATTTGAGCCAAATCGAACGTGTGGTTTTAGGAGGGTAGACGTATCAAGAAAAACACGTTTCCTTATTTATAAAAGGAAGTAGTAAACAAAATTAAATAAAATTGACTCTACGTTAATTTTTCCTTCAATATCTACCTGTTATCCAACTTTGAGTCAAATATACCGTTTCTGAAATATTGGCATATCTACAAAATGCCTTTGAGAGTGCTGAAGCGGAAGTAAAAGATGGAATTTGATAAAATTGATATATGACCATCTAGACACCGACTAGCACAATCCATAAAAAAATCATGAACATTAGATCCTTGATATCTGGAACGTAAATGCAGGTGAGTGGAAATTTTCGATTCTGAGCACAAAATTTTTTTAACCTCTCTCACGAATCTAATGCTTCCCTACCTTCGGTAGTGAGGAAGCAAAAATTGAAGGTTACGATAAAATGCAGCCATTCACGATGTTTTAGGCGGATGTTAATACATTTTTTTTTTTAAATTTATTTATATGATATTTACAACTGTATATAAAAATACATCTGGTAAATTCGCACATAGATATAATGACATGGAACACATGTTGCGAAACTACCCATTGGTAGCACTCTAATAATATGTCTATATTAGAAGATCACGTGGCCATCTTCTTTTCAGACGCCTCGGAGGGTTATCAGGAATCGAATAGGAAGCAAGGTTAGAGACAAGAGGGTTGGGATGGTTATGAAGTTTATTATGGAAGGACAGATATCTGGATGGGGCCAAATCTGATACATAAGGAACATTAAGGTCATTATGGATAATTTTATTTGTAACAAAGTAAGGAGCATTGAGGATTTTACGAAGGATTTTGGATTGTAAGGATTGTATGCGAGAGGAATTTGAAGGTTTGGTGGAGCCCCATAGCTCAACTCTGTAAGTCCAAATAGGCCTTATTATAGTCATGTAAATGAGTCTTTTATAATTGATTGGAAGGTTAGAGCGTTTGTCTAGTAAGTGTTGAAGTAGTCGGAAACGTCGAGCTGTTTCTTGTCGTTTCAGTCTGGTATGAGGATTCCAATTTAGACGTTTGTCCAGATGGAGTCCTAGGTAACGGATTTGTTCAACAGGAATAAGTGAGGTGTTGTTAAAGGATACTGAAGGACAGGAAGTCATTGTTTTACGACGAAGGGTGAAGGTAATTTGATGGGATTTATTGCAATTTATTTTAATATTCCAGTTCTGACACCATTCTTTAAGGTTTGTGATGTGGGATTGAAGGGTTTGGGATGCAATAGATGGGTCGTTATTAACTGATAGGATACATGTGTCATCAGCATATACCCTAACCACCTGCAGACTGTTAATAAATTTAAAAATGGAAATTTGGAATAAAATTTTATAGAGCTACCCGCAGGAGGTGTGGTATTTCCCTGGGGTGACATTTTTTGAGGAGCGGCAACATTTGAATAAAATGGTGTTTTTTTTATACTCAAACGAATTTGTCAGCCCAAAAATGACTTAAAATATAATGATTATCGATACAATATTTTCAATATTATTAAGATTACAGATATCGAATCGAATTGATAAGAATATTGTTATATTTTCGCGCCTTTGTAGGGTGACACAGACC